AAAAGGCAAAATAATTAAACTTTATACACAATAGTCTTACCCATCTTGCTATACTTGCTTGGCCATATTAAAACTGAAGAAATTCGAAAAGAATGAAACATTCTAACTGTAATAAAATTATAGAACAGTGTACAGTAAAATGCAAAAAAAAACCATATACTAAGAATGTTTGAAAAAAAAAATAACTCTCTGATTGTAAGCCAACGGAAAGACAAAATGTGGGAAGACCTCCAATTAGGGTGAGCCATTATAGGAGCCAGATCAGACTGAAAAGTCCAATCTTGAAAGATGATAAATTTGATGGGCTAGAAAAATGTAGTTAAATGAGAATGGAAAGTGCATTTTATTTCAACACCAAAGAATTAACCTGATGTAACGAACTACGATACTTGAAATGTACGATTAATCAGCATAGTAGCTAACATGTATCAAAAATCTTTTCTCATCTATTACAAAATCAAAACTCACAAAATAACAGCAGATTAGGAAATACAAGTAATATGTACGAATTTTGATAAAATTGAAAATACTAACACCGCTTTATTCTGTTGCAATCATATATTAGATTTGTAAAATATCCCAGTATCTGAAGACATTGCAGACTTTTAGGATTCTAAAGAAGTAGAATGTCTGAATATTTAATCACTTTTGGAGTTATATACGAATTTTATAGAGAAATATAGCAGTTTAAATATATTATTTACGAGTTTATTTCTTTCACAGTTATTCATCAGATTTAAACAAATAATAGATTATTATTTCTGATATCTCTGTCACTAATAGTACAACACATATGGGAACAGTATGTACACATAATATAAATCAGTACATCCTACAAGGAATTTTAGAATTCAAGACTTTCTTTACGTGTTGATGGACATGTATTGAAACATTAAACACTCTATTCTACCTCGCTCCCCGAGAAAAAAAGAGTAGGATGAAGTGTGTCCTCCCGGAGTCCTCGGCTTTGGAAAGGCGGTGCCTCAGCTGAAGCGGCGAAACGGCACCGCTGAGCCACGCCTCGAGCTCCCAGCGCCACGACGCAGACTTTCGCGCCGCCCAGCGCCGTCACGCGCTCGCCACGCTTCCCGCCACGCTCCCGCACGCTCCCGCCACGCTCCGCCACGCTCCCCGCCACGCTCCCGCACGCTCCCCCACGCTCCCGCCAACGCTCCCGCCACGCTCCCGCCACGCTTCCCGCCACGCTCCCGCCACGCCTCCGCCACGCTCCCGCCAGCGCTCCCGCCCGCTTCCCGCCACGCGTCCCGCCACGCTTCCGCCACGCCTCCCCCACGCTCCCGCCACGCTTCCGGCCCACGCTCCCGCCACGCTCCGCCACGCTTCCGCCACGCCCGCCACCTCCCGCCACGGCTCCCGCCACGCTTCCGCCACGCTTCCCGCCCACGCTTCCGCCACGCTTCGCCACGCTTTCCGCCACGCTCCCGCTCACGCTCCCGCCACGCTCCGACGCCACGCTCCGCCACGCTCCCGCCACGCTCCCGCCACGCTCCCGCCACGCTACCGCCACGCTCCCGCCACGCTCCCGCCACGCTCCGCCCCACGCCCCGCCACGCTCCCGCCACGCTCCCGCGACGCTCCCGCCACGCTCCGCCACCTTCCCGCCACGCTCCCGCCACGCTCCCGCCACGCTCCGCCACGCTCCCGCCAACACCTCCCGCAAGTTGCCTCAGCCTCCACCTCAGTCTCCTGAGCCCGTTTCCACGTCCGGTTTGCTCCCGCTTCTGCTCCCGCTTCTGATCTCCCCCATACCATCACCCACATCTTCGTCCCAGCTCCCACCCCCACAAGTGCCTCCTTTTCTGTCACGCCCCCGTCTCCCGTTCCCTTCTCACACCTCCCTCCCCCGTCTCCCTCACCCGATCCCATCTCCCAATCCCCTTCGATTCCCTTCTCGTTCTTTTTCCATTCCCGCCCCCTTTCAATTCTATCCACTTTCCCGCTGTCCTTGCTAAAACTAATTCTCTCAACGCACCTGTCTCCGTTATCAACTACCTTCACTGTCGCTATTGTTCGCTCCAGCAACTGCCACTCCCTTTTCTCACCCCACCGCGCTCGCACCTCCACTGCCGCTCTCTTCCCTCCCCTCGATTTTCCTCTAGTGCTCGCGTGAAGCGCGAGTGAGCGATTGCATATTCCTGGCGGTTGTGAATGTATCAGATACGAAATTACCACGGATGCTGAGTGTGAAAAACACCCGCGTCTCCGGGGACGGGCAGCTAATCCAACCGCCAGGATCAATTAAATATTTTTGTATTCATTTATATATCGCAAATATAAAATTCATGGAATTATCAAAAATATTTTCAACGTAAATAGTCTCTCGCCAGAGGCGGATGGATAAAAAACACAGAAATGGAAAGGTGGTGTGGCGCGCAGGGGGAGAGCACACAACGAGTGACACTACCCTGGTGTCTAGGGGATAGTGCGCAACGTTTGAGTTAGTAAGCGTTCTAGCTTGCACACTGCGTCACGAGATATGTATCTTCTATGTTATTTAACTAATCACGGAAAACCTGAAACGAGAAATAACAGTTTTTAATGATTTATAAATCCGTGTATATAAATAGGTGAGTTTTGAACCACAAACTAGAATACGTATACCTTTTTTATTTTAATGACACCTATCGCATACAATTATTTATACATTTCCAGCCTTAAACAAAACTAGTGAAATGAACTTTTAAAAATTAAATGAACAGACGTCAGATGTTTTGACACATTATTATTCTCCTAAAAACGTATTTTGAGACTTCAAAAATCAAAGAAATATCACTGACAAAGTTAAGGTATTTTACAACCGATTATCTCGCAAATATTTTCACTTCTGTGAAAACATAATTCTCTTTAAAATCGGCCATACTCTCTTTAAGCAGAATATATAGGGAAGTATCTTTAAAGCTTCTTACAATAGCATAAAAAAACATTTAGAACTGAACGTTCACTTTAAACTTTAGCTCAAGCACCTTCACTTAATATACAGGGAACAGTTGAAGAATATTCTCCGCAGTACGTATTACATAAATCAGAAAAAAGGAGAATCTATTAACTAAAAAAATGTAGTTGTGAATACCATCTATTTATTATGAAACTTTAAAAAAAATGCTTAGACATTACATTGAACAGAAAACAAATGCGTAATTATCTTCAGGTATTTCTCATCCCCTAAAATTAAGAATGACATAAATGTAGGTGTGATAACTTGGCTTCTAAGAACTGAAAAACCCATTCACACTCCCACGCATTACAAACAGAGTCTCTAGGCAATTGATATCAGTGTATAATAATTTAAAATATTAAATTTATTATATTTTAATTTCATATTTTGTTCCTCGCGGAGAGACATATTGTATGTTAATATATTAAATCCATCACAATAAAACAATACTACTATAATCAATAAATAAAACAATATTTTTAGGTTTTGTAAACCAAATGACAAAACAATATGAGTTTTATTTTGAGAATTTAGTAGCAGAATGCTACATATGAAACACCTCCAACCAAAATGTTGTCCTTATTGAACTGCCCTGAGAGCATTATGAACCCATCTCCTGAAAGCAGCAATACGCAATAGCTGCGAAGTTTTGTGTTCTAAATGACCGGTGGGTCGTCCGCAGTGGCGCAGATACCTGGCAGCCCAAGCGGCGCAGATACCTGGTTGAGGAAAAAAACCGTAGTTGACAGTAGGTCGGCGAAGAACCTAACCATCCAATGGGGAATGATTACAGCCACCTCGCGCGATAAAAATGCACTACACTTACGGGACTTTAGCCGTAAACGCGCCCGGAATCACGAATCAACCAACCAAAAAGCAACCCAAGCGGCGCGGGCGAAAGGCGACAGGCGCGTCGGCCGCGCGAACGCGGCGCGCCACGGGGCGCAGCGCGGCGCCACGGCGCGCGTCGGCGCC